TATTAACTTACATTCTTAGTATCCATCACAGTAGAAACTTTGACAGCCTTTTCTAGCTTTTTAGCAGGAGCGGCTTTCTTGGCCATTCTGGCTCGTTTTCTACTCTTTCCCTGCCAATTTTGTAGTTGCATATAGAGATCAATACATAAGACTCAATGCTGGCAGTAAAACATACACTGATAGTCAAAAGAACAAAAAATAAGTCAAAAGCAAATAAGATTGAAGTGAAAACTTTCAACACAGTTATGCAGTGTGTGACTCCAATAACAGCTCAGAACTAGGCAAGAACTCTAAGCTGGAAGCTGGATGAGACTTCCAAGCCTATGCTTCAGATCACAAAGCACATATGACATGCAGCAAACATAAACTCAAATACAAGAAAAGAGGTCAGTTTTAAAAGTGAAGAATTCCCGCACAATCACAGATCTAAGGAGAATGAAGAGGCAAATAATGCAGGGGCTGATAATCATGATTAACTACATAACCTCAATGATTTTCAATCTAAAGACTCAAAAGCCAAAAATATAGACAACAAATAAGAAGAAACCATGGAACAAACAGAAACTAAGAAAGCCCCTAGCATTGCACCGATCCTTGTGAACACACATATGACAAAATTTATGGATTTCCAAAGGCATTACCTTATCATAGTCCTTGTTCATTGCTTCCCAAATCATTCTTTTAAACAGTGCCGCCTGCTTGCTGTTAAGGTACCCAACAACCTACAAACCACAAGCATCATGCCTTCCATGTCAAAATTCCAAAAATAAAAAATTGAAGCAACAATCATATACAAATCCAAATAAAAGACAGCACTTTACAGATAAGTCTAGACCAAGCACTATATACCAAGTGGCTATGATGGAAGTGATGTTGAAGAAAGCTGACGGATCATGGGCAGGGGGTAACTTTCAGTTTCAGGATCACTGCTTTTGTCTTTCATTAATTTTTACCCTTTATTTTAAAACATAGAAAATGTGGTTGATTGTCATGAACCAAGAACAAAACTTTTCACAATAACCATGAAAGGAAATTCCAAGAGCATTGATATGTAGATTAAATTCAAATCATCATTGAGGAATTTGAGCATCTACCTTCTATTCATCAACTTGAGAAAAATGGGCAACCACGATTCAAACTCAAGAAAAGCAAGAGCAGTATATATATAATTATCTGCGTACCTCTGCATCGTCAATATCAGAGAGGCTTTCTGAGACATCACCATCCCCAGGTGACATTGCGTACCCACAGAGGCCTTCTCTTCTTGCCGCCTTTTCTGTAACTCTATGTTTCTTTTATAGTTTGTGGAATTTATATCAGGTTCTTTCTTTTTTCAGAATTGAAATTTGGACCGGTCGAACCCAAAAACTAAACTCTTTTAAAATCTTAATTGAATACACCCCCCTTAGTTTTCATTTTTCAAATCAAAAGCACTGAACGAGACCCAAAAGCTAAAGGAATATAAGAGGCCCAACAAACTAGGTTTAATTCAGATTGGGCCAGAAAAGCAGAATACGCAGCCCAAACCCCCAATCCAAACCAACAAACACACAAAAAAGAGAAAAGATCCGATATATGAAGAAATTGTTCAATGTGATTGTAACACATTAATTCATAATGAATTTTTAGCCCAAGTAGTTAAGAGCAGTTATACATGTACCTAATGTCATGTGTCCGAATCCCTCCTCCCCCAATGAGCAAAATAACATCCAGGCACAAATTGTGACACGACAACAACACCAGCCCTAAACAAAGACCGGAAACACTAATATACATTTCACTATAGAGGTTTTGTAGCCCAAATTATGGAAATATATTTGTTTACTTCTTTTCTTTTTCTTTTTTCCAAAATTTATGGTTCTCTTTAAATCAAGTTATTATGCAAACTGCCCATCATGGCCTCAATTGAACTAACTTGATTCCCTAAACACATTTAAAATCTAAAGTGAGAGGTGATGGGGTTTCCATGAATGAGTAGAATATGCATCCAACAACTGCTATTGCATATTCAAATCTCTGACATGTAGCCCCAGCCCTCATTCAAAAGCAAAAGGAAGCTGGAATTTGGAAAAACCCTAGCAGAGAAAAAACTACCCCCAACCTTTCAGCGCCGCATCCTGGGGGGGAGGTGATCTGCCCCTCCTCCCCTCCCCTCCTTTTCCTCCTTTTTCGTTCTCCTTCCCCCCTCTTCCCTCCTCTTCCTTTCTCACTGTTATTCCCACCTTGTTTTTGGTTTTGCCCCTTTTTCTTTTACGGTTCCCTCCTCACCCTCTGTGGTGATTTTGCTTCACCCTCTGTGGTGATTTTGCTTGGGCTATTTGCTCATTTCTGGAGGTTCTTCGTCTACTTTGGTCTCTTATCGCCACCTCTCTACCACTGACCTCTGCTCCTCGGGTTCACGGATGCCTCCTCCGCCATTCTTTCTTGGCGGCGCGTTCGGGTATGAGGATGCCTTTAAAGTGCTATATGCACTATCTACTTGGATTATGGGAGCGCATTTTGCGCGGGTGGCTTGTTCACCCCCACTTTCCTTTCGTTCTTCTGAAGCTCTATGTTACCAGAGACTCCCTCTTGGTGGCTGTGGACTTGCTATGGTGGTTTGGCTGCTTTGCTGCGGGTGGTGCGGCTGCAACTTGATTTCAATTTTAGGGTTGTTTGGGTTTGAAACTTTGTATGTGGGCCTTGTTTGTATTCAAAGTCTTTTTTGTAATCCTTTGGGCCTATGTTTAGCCTTCAAACTCTTGTAATGTGTTTGCATTTTAATGAAAGCAGTTTGCTTTGACCAAAAAAAAAAAAAACAAAAACAAAAACAAAAAAACAAAAACAAAAGGAAGCTAAGTACGATTCCAAATTAAATGTATATATATTATATGTTGGCACCTTATGTAGAAACCTGGTTGGATTAGGTTTGCAAGTCCTAATTGAATAAAAGTCTTGGTCTATGAGGTTTCTCTCCTTGGGAGAGAAAACTTGTGTTGATTAAAAAGAAGTGACCACTGTTTCATTGATGGAGCTTTTGACGTTTTAATTTGCAGAGCATATTGATTATATTTGTGCAAAAGCTGCTGTGTTTATTTTTCTTCAGTAAATCATCAAGTGCCCTTACGTTGCTCGGTGATTTATTGAATTCTTTCATCATTCATAATTGCATACATATGCATGTCGGTGACTCATATGGTTGAGGGCACCAAAATCGTTGTGGCGTCTATCCTCCGGTGAGCTTGAAGCAATCGCGACCAGTATTGCGTTCAACGTAAGGAGTGTTGAAGATCATCCCGTGACAAAAGTTGAATTACACATAAGTCGGTAAACTTTATCTAGATTGAGTCTAGGATAATTGTGTGAGTACCTCTTGTAATTTCAATTCTATAGTGGATTTGTTCTGGACTAAGGAGTCCCGTGGATTTTCCCCAGAGGTGGGGTTTTACCACGTAAAATAAACATCTGCGTGTTCTTTTACTTTCAGCACTGCACATCTCAGGATTGATAACCCATATCAATCCTGCTTCGAAAGTCTATTGTTATTTATTGCTAATAAATTTGAATAAGCCTATTCACCCCCCTCTAGGCTTTTCTTAGTCGTCCTACAGGTATTTTCAATCAAGCTTGGCAAATTCCTTATGTTCAGAAGAACCTGAAGCAACAAATTCATTTTGGACCGGGATGTTACATATATAACCAGATTCATGTAAAGCCCCGGATCATCAAGGAAGCTGCAGAATTGTCCGCATCCTTTATTCTTGACTTTTCATCTCCCTTCATGCATAGCACACCATCTCTAGTTGCAATTTTAACTGAGGACACAAATCTCTTCTCATATGAAGGACCTTCATCTTTCTCAATGCTGCAACAGAAAAACCAATATGGCTCTGCTTAACAAATAGAATTAACAACATAATTCTAACACACTTAAAATCATCAAAAGGTAAAGATTCATACTTGTATATTGGTTTAGGCTACTTCCTCTTGTCACAAAGCTCATGCAACTTCTGTTTTGCTTCTTCAATATGAAATAACCCATTCATCCCAACAATAACTTCAAACGACCCATCAAGTTTGATCGAGGATTGGAGAGGAGAGGTGGAAGAAAAGGCTCGGGATGGATTTAGGAGCCTTTGTGCGAAGAACCCGAAGTAACAATTAATTGGTCATCCACATACAACTAGTAATGCTCTTGGTCTTATCTCTCCAATGCTTGATATCAACATGCTTCCAATGCTTCTGGTCAAACAACTTTGTCACCGGTCGCAATTGACTTTGCAAATCTTCAAGAGTAACTATAAGCTCCAATAGACCCCTGAGGCTCTACAAATTTATTCAGCAACAACAAAAGTTCGAAGGTTGTACTATAGTCTATGGCCAAATTGCTAAACTCTATTACAAATTTAGCAAATCAAGCTTTTCATTTCTTTTTAAACCTTTAGGAGTTCAAACCATTTAATAAAAAATCCAAATCCTTTTTAAGAAAATTTACCGAGAAAAACAGGGAAGATTAAACTAATAACTAAAAAAAGACCTTCCCCTGTTTTTAAAATTCACCCTCATATACAAATAACAAATTTTCACACAATTCTAAACCTTCTATTTTTTTTCACCAAATTCTGCTATCGCTAAAGGAAAGACAAATTTTAATCCTTCTGAAATAACTAAGCTGTTCCAACACAAACCCCAAAAAAAAAAAAAAAATTCCTTTCACATACAAAACAGAGAAGCAAACAGAAAAGAAAAAAAATTTAAAAGAAAGGAACAATTAATTCTTGGGAGAGTCACTATTATACCCGGGATTTAAAAGGAGGAGTGGGTCAGAGCTTCTTCTAGAAGCCTCTTGTTCTCGAAATTGTAGCCCAGGATTTGCTCCACGGTTGATCCCGATTGTTTCATTTCTGGTGATGGATGCTAGACCATGTGATTGAGGATGGGTACAATTTACCAAAAAGAAAACAAACATGTACACGTATATGCAATTTTTACTCCAAGCAATCTAAAACCTACGAGCACAAACCAAGTGTTACAGGTTCAAATGTAGCAGGTAGAGGAACCTACCACATATACAATTAAGCACATATAGTGGTGCAAGTGTGGAAGATTTTGGAAGAGAAAACTATATATAGAAATTATAGAGAAAATGAGATTATCTTCTTCACTCATGCCTTGCCAAGTCTGGCTATGGGAATTTATACATGTATAGGTAAATCGAAGGATACCTCCATCGCATTACCCTTAATAGAAATTACTTATCCCCTTAGCAAAAGAACCAACTAATTTCACCAAAACAGAGACAATAACTAGTGTAAGTAACAGACTTAAGCAGAAACAAACTAGGTTCACTCAAAAATACAAGAGACTTATTATCACCCTGTAGGCCTTAGCCCCCAGTGTGTAGAGTAGTGAGGCAATATTACCCAACATGGAATCAGATTCCTTTGTCTTGATCTTGCAATCAGCTTCTTTGGTGTTGATCATACGATCAGCTTCTTTTCTGTTGGTCATTCTATAAAACTTTATGGTGTTGATCATATTATCATATTCTTGTAAAGCAAGGAACATCTTGTAAGCTGCAGAATTCATTGCACATTTTTTTCTTGACTTTTCATCTCCCTTCACAGATTGCAAGGAACCATCTGAAGTTACCACTTTAACTGAGTATAAATATTTCCTCTCATGTGGAGGGCCTAACACGTTCTCTTCTCTGCAATAGAAAAACAAATATGGATCGAGTTAACAATAGAATTTACAGCATAATTCCAGCTAGATAACGTTTCTTTTGCTCTTCGTTTACGAATACTTTATGATCATGATAAAGTAAAATTTCTTACTTGTAGTCTGGACGTTTAAGCAACCTCTTCTTGACACAAAGCACATGCAACATTTGTATCGCTTCTTCAATACGAAATGACCTGTCGTTTCCAGCTGGAATACCTTCGAAGGACCCATCGTTTACAACCATCGATTGCGACAACTTATGTACAGCCTCTTTAGCAGCATTCTGCCTTGCATTACTATTCCCCTTAGAAGAACCCGAGCCAACAAGCACGTCATCAACATAGACACCAGCAATACTTATATTTTCAGTCTCATCTCTTGGCTTCAGCTTGATCTCAAGGCGCCTCCCGTTCTTCAGGCAAAAGTCATGCAATATTGCCATGGGGCGACCACGCAAGTCTTCAAGAGTATATATAGGCTCCAAAAGAGGCTTAAATATCTACATAGAAAACAACAAAAATTCATAGGTTATATACATACATAGTCATGCCCCAACTTCCAAGCGTTTACAAACTTAACAACACTTCTCCACTTTCATGTTAAATAAAATTCGAAGGTAAAATAAATACACACCATCCATAGTTTATCGAGATCAAATTTCAAGTCAACGTAAATAGCAGCTGCCACGGACTCAACAATATCTGCAAGAACCTTATGTACAAGCCCCGTCTCGTCTTCTCCATTAATTACTGCTTCGATAAACTCCTTAACCTAAGCTTTAAAAAATAAATAATTTTAAAAAAAAACTTGCTCATAAAACCCAAAGAAAGAACAATTAGTTAACAACCAATAATGTTTTAAACAAACCGCGAAAGCACGGTTAGTGAAATATAAACAATCACGCCGATGTTAAAACAAATTTTTTGTGCGTATTTGTTATTCGTATTCGTTTGGCCTTCGACTCCCCTTTCACCAAATAGCAAAACAAAACAATTGTTAAGGAGTATTGCTCACACACGCGAGTAGTTGTCAGTCATTAATGTAATTGCATCACATAATGCTCACTTGCTAGCGACAACTCAAAAGAAACAGGCGAACTTTAATACAATTCAAAACCTTGTCTTTTTGTGGATTACGTTCTGCATAGGGGTGCAAGTTCGACCGGAAATTCTGGTCAAATTCGATCTGAAAATTTCTGATTTTGGAAAGTTCAAATCAACATCCAAAAATTACGAAAAAATTTGGATTTGAATTGAAATGTATTTCAAAATTCCGAAAATTCCGCACTCCAAAATATAATGGAGTTTCAATGTTAGACTACACACAAGTTGTTCCTTAAAGATAACAATATATAAATGCTAGCATATAATAGACAGACAAGTTGTTTCAAAATTTCTGAAAATTCCGAATTTTCCGCATTCCGATGTTGAAATTCTGAATTTTTTTTTTGGAAGAAATTAGAATATTTTGATTCCGATGCATTCCGTCCGAAAAACCAAGCCTAGTTCTGCTTTACACAACTAAAATAACAATTAATTAATAATTAACAAATATT